GGGGGGGGGGGGGGGGGGGGGGGGGGGGGGGGGGGGGGGGGGGGGGGGGGGGGGGGGGGGGGGGGGGGGGGGGGGGGGGGGGGGGGGGGGGGGGGGGCGACGACTTGAAGGGCGCATCAGCACTCCTCCTGCACGTCGCATCCTCCCACCACCCAGCGACACCGAGGACTTGGTTTGAAGGCCACGAAAGGGCAGCCACCATCTCCAGAAGCACGTGTGCAGTCTCCAGCACTTCTAAAGGATGCGTTGAGAGCAACGCAATCGCCACGCTCACGCGCCGGCCGAAATCTTCGCTTCAAGTCCTGCTTCCTCTTGCGGAGGTAGCGGATGAGGGGCTACTGGCAACTCTAACCGGTAGGAGAAATCTCGGACACGTCTACCGGCTTCGCGCGCTTTCTCCTCGTACTTGGTGAAAGGCCGCCATGAGGGGCGTTCCGCAGTCTCCCCTCCCACCCAACACCCCGACACCTCCGAAACAAGTCTAGTGCTGTCTCCGTTACTCCCCGCCCGCTGTTGCTGCTGGGGCTCTCCACGCATGCCATCGGCAAATTCCTCTCCCTGAATCTGCTCTTCCCGATGTACACCTCCAAGTTGTTGGAACCCCAGCTCCGTATCCTCTGCCGCTGCTGTTCCTGATCGCATTGTCGAGGACGTCGGCCGCGCGGCCTTTGGCCTCTTCTCGGGCGTCCACGTCGACATGACCCGAACGGTGTGTTTGGCGTAGCCGTCTACATCGGTCGCCACGTGCAAGGTCCCGCCCGGTTGAAGCTTGGAGGCGAGCAGATTCAACAGGAGCGGCCGCACTAGTCGCCTGCGCGGAAAGCGAAGCGAGGCAAGAAGGTACGCGCTTAACGACCCGGCTTGTTGTCATGCGGAAAGGGTTCCTCACCAAATTGCGCAGCAGGGACCCAGGAGCGGCACACCCGATGTGACAAAACGTCATCGTCCAACGTGGGTCTACAGCTTTGTTTTTTACCCTTGGTGAGAGAAATAGCTAAATAGTGTAGAATGTACCCGCCTGAAACCAGGCTAGCTCGTGAGCGGCGTATACCCTGTGCTAAGTCCAAGAGTACGGAGACGCACACATAGTGCCCTCTTGGATGCGGAGCAAGATGCTGCGGGGCGTTGGCACGAAGGACAGGGCTCTTGGGTATGCAGACCGCATGATTTCGGTGTCTCAAGAGGCGAGCAAGAAACGAACAGACCCGTAAGTACTCCGTTCCTAGAACATCCCTCCACCAGGGACGTTCCCTAACCCACGGTGCGTTCCCCGTCGACGCCGCGAAACTCCGAAAAATGCAGCACCAGTTCGCAGGCCGGTCACACCGCTGCAAAGCGATCGACCATGTGGATGCCGCAAAATGCAACATTTCAGGGGGAGAGAACATTTTCCCTATGAACCCGGCTCTCGACCAGAGCCGCGGAAGGAATGGAAAGAGACGAGATTGGCGAGGAACAAAGTACGGCACGAGCGGACAAGACTTCTCGCCTCTCCGTATCCCTGTCCTGAGGAAACGGATCCGGGAAGAAAATGCAGCACGAACTCAGGCTCCAGTCTTCGATGTGGTCGGCAAGGGCAGTTATCGCGTCCCCTTGAGCGATTTTCACGTTCGGCAGCCCTTCCGCCTCTAGCCGCGCCAATGCCGCGGCTACGCCAGGCTTGTGCACCTGCTCCAGCAACAGCGAAGGTTCCTCAATCACCGTTTCTCAGTGGAAACACGGGGAGTGTGTGTCCGAAGGACCGCATTATTACGCAATATTGCCAGCTGGGTCGGTGCGCGCGACGTCGGAGTTTGGTGGAGATCATGCCGATTTTGAAGCAAATAATAAGTTTATGAATACACCAATACACTGCTGAGATTGGAAAGGTGATTTTTCAAATCGGACATGGTAGCCTACGACAATATAAAACCCGCGTCGCCCCGTGGTAATCTGACCTACCCGCTATTATGCACTAGGCACTGCGAACATTTGTCTGCTGGTTTGGAACCCTGCATGTCCAGCCACGGTCACCTCTATGCCAACGAAGTTTTCCTTGGGGCGCATGGCTGCCATTTCAATCAAGCTCTCCCCCGAGCCGAACCCAATGTCGAACGTAAGCGCTGCACCGGGCGCAGCCGCGAATATCTGGTCAAAATCCCATCTGACGCAAGAATTAGCGGACAGTGCATACAGGTGTGTATTTTCTTCATGTTCAAGTTTGATGATGTGACAGGTTATTGAAGACGGGTTCGTCGGCAAGCTCGGATCGAATGAAAGTTGGGTTTGTCGATGGAATACGGCCGATTGCGACGAGTGTTTTAATTCAAACCTCACAGGTGGTGCTATTTCGCAAAATCTACATCTGTCTCTGCGCCGACAATGAGTTTCTGCTAGGCATTGAAACACCACTAGCATGTGGTTTACGTCCTTTTTGAAGCTCCAAATCTGGCTTACCTTTACCAATCAGTCAGCAGCAGCGCAGCCAGGGTATGACAAGCGTTTGATAATCGAACTTGGTTTGCAAGTATGGGCGGCAGAGGGGAGAAGGCGCGACCTTTAGCCTTGGACTTCTCGGGGGAGGGGAGGTCGCAATACCGAGCTCTTTGACAGCATGTAGACTTGGCTAGAACCCGTCGGTCATGACTCGGGTTCCTCAAAGCATGGCCGCATTTTCGCCCTTAACGAGACCGACCGGATACCAACTCCCATGTGCAGGCTTCCGTACAAGCGGGAAACAGAGCATGACCGTCGCCCTTGTCCGTTTCGCCCCCTCGCTAGAGACAGATATGCTACTAGGGTTCGTCGTGCGCGCACAGGGGAACAAGCAAGATCCCCGAGAGCCCGGAAAACGCGTACACATAAAATGACGCGCGCATTTGATTGTTGGTGTATTCGGCAAACAAAAACTCTTGCCCACCATTTTCAGACAACGTCCGTGTGCTTATTGAGGCGATGTCTTGGTACGTATGTATGTACTATCCCACCGGCCAATCGCGAGGCTCGATTTTGTTGCGCAACTGGTTGTGCGCTCCTCGTTTCAAGCAAACCTAGCCGAGGTGCAGCGAGTTACACACCATCGCAGGGGCAGCTTCGTGGTGCTGTAGGTGGTATGGGGAGGGGTTCCGGGAATCATTGGTGTGATGTGCAGCACAGGGTCGAAAATAAAAAAAAATGAATACCGCCGTTTACGCAAGTATATGCGCGACCAAGAGAGGCTTACGAATCCACCGCAGAGTGCACGCATGTTGAGACCAAACCGAGCGACCGATTGGTCAGCTTCGTGCGTAAGGTGAACGATACAAAATGTATACCCGGGTACGTGCTTGAATTGTAGACAGCATGGAAATGAGCCTAGCTGATTGGTTGATGCCCCCAAGTTCATCTTGCCTTGTCAAAAAAGCCCGGGTTAGGATTACCCCGTACCCCACCCCGGCTGGTTCTGAATTGTCGCTGAAACTTGTTCTTTGGATTTTCTGAAATGTGCCCGAACCATTAGACAAGTCAGCGCTCACGAGTCGCGTCTAATGGTTTCATTTCGGCTTCGATGAACCCAGCCAAACCCTTACCCCATCTCCGTGCGAATGATTGCTATTATAGCTGTTTTCAGTACTGCTGCAGGTGTGAAACAACAGCAGTCAAATGGCAAACAATGAGCTGAAGTACTTCTACAGTTAGCGCCCGCAATTAAGAAGTATTTTTTTAAGAAATTGAGGCTCACTTTTCCACGAAAAATAAGAAAAAGGGTAAAGAAACATTGTTCAGTCTGGGTCACACAATAATAAATGTCTCGATAAGAAACAGCGGCGACCGCTGCCCTACTACATAGGAAGCGAGGGGTAACGGGGGAGTGTGTCGAATAAGAAACACCTCACAGTTCCTCCTATCTCTCGCTCTTTCCCCTCTCTCCCACTACCCCCCCGCCCTCACATAGTGCATTATTAGTTGTACGACGAAGGGGGAGTGTGTTTGTTCTGCGGCGCCCCCTCCGGCCCCCCGCCGGCTCTGGCGCTCTCTGGCGCCCCGGCTCTGGCACAGCACACCAGACAGGCTGACAACCACGATATGCTGTCTGCTGTGCGGTTTTGATGGTGCTCTCCGCCAGCTCTCGTGAGGGCAAATTGTTTTTTATTTTGAACGTTCGCTGTGTAAAGTAGTAAGCAAGCAGAGAATATAAGATATTGCCGATTTAAGAAACCCAGCAGGACTTGGCGGCACAAAAAACTAAGAAACTTGACATAAGACATTGAAAGACATACGCTGAGTATATTGCCCACAAAAAGAATTCGAGGCTGGACCTGACATAAGCGTTTCTTAACCGAAGTTAAAGTGGACGGACGCCGCGAAGGTAAAGGGGGGAGTACCCTGGCATGCGGCGGTGCTGCAGGGAGCTGAGAGGTTCATGACCTCCTGGCACGAGAAGGAAGAAGAGGCCAGCCGACAACGGGCGCTCAAACGAAACCACAAGCCACCAACCAATGGGGCAAGAGGGGGGCAGGAGACGGACGAGACGGCGATGGAAGAAAGCAAACGAGAAGAGACGGACCAAGTGGCGCGATACGTGCCGGATTGAGCTTCTTTTAGCCAATCCCCCCCCCCCGACGCTGCACCATTGCACCAACCGCCAACTAGTGATGACGTACCATTACAATGTATCGCTGGTTGGTGGCCATGTTTGCGTGTGAGCTTGTCGTTAGTGGTCTCTCCACCGTGTGCCTTGTTCTTTCTCCCATTTCTTGTTTATTTTCGGCCTGGTCCATTTTTTGTCCTCGCTCTTTATGTTTCAGTTTCTCTTTTCCTGACTGTTTCCATTTATTTTCTTCTCTTTTTCTCTTTTTTCTCTCTTTTTCTGTGCCAGATGGCCTTGTCTCTGCTTGCGTGTGAAGTACTAAGATTGAACCACGGGGGTGTACCTCATTATCTCCGGCCCGTCGTGGTGATTCCTAGTCTCAGTTGTTTTACCTCGCATAGCGCGCAGAGGGAGTGGAGGACTCCAGCATATCTGTCGTTGATTTCTATTGACTTGCGAACCCCTCGGGGCCATATTATTTGAGTGGTACCTTGTTTAGGGTAAGTTAGCCTGCGACCACGGGAATCGACCGCGTCCAGTGTTGCATCAGTGTTTGTGTGTGCGTGTGTCTTCCTCCTTCTTACTATAGCGACAGTTCCCCCATTTTTCGTGGTTAGACGTGTACTACACTCTTCAGCGTATGTATGTAGAGTGCTACTTTGCAGTGTTTTTTTCGCACAACTACAACCATCCAGGGTCACACAGGAGGGGGTAAACACCAGGGCTTTTTTCTTCTTTTTTCTTCTTTTCATGCCCCACCTTCCTCCTGCGGTGCGTGCTGAAATATATTTTTATCGCGAGAAGGGTCCCGCCGTCACTTTCCCTCGTCAACGGTGCTATCGTCGAAATTTGGTACTCACGAGAGCTTGTCAGCTATATTTCGCTTTCACCCGCGTATTTCGTAAATTTTTCACCCCATGGGAATTCGAACTCACGACCTTTACAACTAGCGGATAACGAGGATACCACTAGACCACCGGGGCAACCAGTACGGACATACGAAGGTACTGGGTAGAGAGAGATCGGTTTTTGATGTGAAGACAACAACAACAAACAACAACAACAACAATCACGCGCGCCAACTGTATGTGGGATGGGTGAGCGTCGAAAATTTGTGGTGCGTGTTAAGCCAAACCCATGGATAATGTTGATACTTGTACATATCTCTCCACTCCATCTCTCTGCCACCACATTTGTGCTTCTACTCTCACTTTGGAACAAGGCTCGTTTCAGTCCGCGTGTCAGCCATGCCGCGTTCAACCATACATACGGAGCGTGTCTCGGACGATGTCGTGTGGTCGCCAACACTTGTTTATAGCTGGAAGATTCGTGCTTTTGGCGTCCTTTGGTTGGAGCGGAAAGTGATGTCTTGTGTAGAGAAAATGGCCGATGGCAGCGTCCCATTTTCCGTCAGGTCAGGGTCCATTGTACCCACTGTGTCCAGCAGCCATGAGTGCATGTTTCCAGCACATGGCAAGCAGACATATGCATAGCTCGCGCATCGATGTCGGTTTGGCCGTAGCCTGTCATCGGATATCATCGAACTCTGTTCGTTCAGTGCCTGCTCTTTCCTAAACTTTACAGACAAAGACGATCTGCACGTCGGTTTGTGTCGCGCGTGTCGTCGGCGAGCACAACTTCTAAGAAAACATACATAACCTCACAGAAAGACTGGCCGTTCCCGAGATACACAAAACCACGCAGTCGAAAGGCAACTTCTTGCTATGTGAGGTGCGGGCGGACGCATGCATGTGGTTTGCCGTGCACTGCTGTTGCAGCGGCTGTATCCGCCAACCAAAGAACTATTTCCCCAGCGTTATTCAACTTGGACGATTTGGCGGCGGTTTCTCTCTCTCGCAAAGCAAGGAGATCGTGCTGCGCTCTCAGCGGTACACACACTCCAGCTTCCACAACAAATGAAGCCACGTACAGCAGCGGCACGAATGATTACTGCTGTAACATGTACAGCGGTAGCCAGCGTGCACCGAGATAGGTTCACCTTCTTTCGAAGTCCACGACTAGCCCGTACTTCGGCCATAGCTCGCGGAGTGTTCTCCTCTGACCTCGGGTAATGGGCGCCTGTCTCCTCCTGAAAGACCTAGACTTTCGTGCAGCCTTTCGCTCATGGCGAGGCATTGCCAGCTTTCCATCACGACCTATTGAACTACTTGCGTATGTCGCGAGTGTTGTATGAACATTGTCGCTTCCCGATGCGGAGCAGCAGCTGACAAGATGCCATCCAGCGACGTGGAATCGAGGCCCTGCGAAAGTAAGCTGACCAATGCTCGCGATAGACGTCACTCGTGGGTGAACTCTCATCAGGTGCAGAGGCAGAGAAGCACGGTCGAAGAATCTACATGCGCAGGGGCGAGGGGGATCAAAGCAACGAGGGGAGAACGAGGGCCTCCATGTTGGTTTGGAACTCGGATTCGGAACCTTTTCCTCCTACTTTTTTCAGAACCGTCGCCGCGTGTTTCCTTGTTTCCTTCTCATTTTTTTGTTGGTCGTGTTTTCCCCGCCTATTAAAAACAAACACGTAAATGTAGGGGTGTCTCTCCGAGTGCCACTCCACGTTTTCGACTTCCCTGCGTTCGAGTCTCAGTCAACCCAACCGGTGACGACCTCTCAGTCCCTCCACGACACGTGCTCCCGGGCCTGTTCGAACGTGCCCGACCGCTTCTCTCGCCCGCCGCCGACGCGACAGTGCACCATCAACAGCGTGAGCGACCTAGAGGGACAAGGCAGCAGAAGCTCGTTGTTCAACTCGCACAACCCATCCGGCGGCGGCATCGCGACAGCGGAGGTGACTCAAGAGGCAGCTCGGGAAGAGGGACCGGAAGGCACCATGTCAGAGAAGGAACAGCCTCCGATGATGGACCAGAAGCTCTGCGTTGCCGGCTGCGGCTTCTTCGGGTGAGTGCGTGTACCGGTCGCGTTAATTCCCTCTCCCAGCGCGTGCGTGTGTTTTCTGGAGAAGTCCTCATTGTTGGAGGGTCATTGTTGTGTTCACCTCACCTACATCGTTCTTTGCGGCGGGGTGTTAATCTGCTCGCCCCGCGCTGCGGCGGGCGGCGAATCGCCTAGATCTCTCGACTGATGCCGCCGCCGGCATTATTGTCCCGTGCACGAAGGAACGACCTCGTCGCCATGTCCTCGCCGCCCCGGCCTCCGGCCAAACCTCTTTTTTTTCTGCGGACAACGGTAAATTAAGGTGTTGTCTTTTCGTTGGTGCCTGCCCCCCGGACGCCTGTTCCATCAGTTTTCCGCCCTTCAACCCGACACACCGAAGCAGTTGTCAACTCTTTTGGCGGAGGCATGGAGGGGGTGGGGGGAGGGGATAGATGTGCTGGGCTGCTACATGGACCACGTTAGGGGTAGAACGATTGGCAATATTTCGCGATCCCTCCGTGTGCTGCTGCTGCTGCTGCTGCTGCTGCCCCCTCCCTTCGCGTTCATCTCCATTTTCAGTCAACCTGTGACCACTTTCTTCGGCCCTCCCAAAAAATAAACTATCACTCCGTTGTCGATCGTTGTGGCTGCCACGTTCGTCCTGTGCTCGCAGATCCTCGCAGACATCGCAGATGTGCTCAAAGTGCTGGAAGGACTCGATGTCTAAGTCTATGCTAGGGGCGGAGGGAAAGAAAGAGAACGGTGGTGAGTTGAATGTCGCGCGCCACGGGCGGGATCGAAAAATGGCAGAGAGAGAGAAGTGGAGGACCTGCGAAAATTCGTGCTCACTTCTTTTCGGTGTTGGGTGCCGTCGGTACGAGTATGCAGGGTTCGCGTAAACACCACACACTGACCACGCACCCCGCGTCATCCGCCATCTGACGCGCGTGTACTGGCTCGTCGGCTTGATTTTCTCACAGCCCGGCGTTAGACGTTGGCGTAGGAAAAAGCAAACTGTTCATCACAAGCAATCCATTAACCCCGACACGCCCATGTTGGGGACACGAAGCTGCAGCAGCACACAGGTAGGTGTCCCTTGTTTTGGAGGTCAAAAATATTTTCCCGAAACTGCGTACAGAGTTCAAGAAGGGTCTGTCCGTGGTCTGTATGAGCTGGGATTCCAGAGACGCACGTGGGAGCGTCGTCCCCACAAGAGTGCATCAGCTCGTGGCTCGTGGCCACGTGATGTCGCCGAAGTTTGTGTGTACGGTCTCCTCCTGGCTCAGGCTTTTGGCGTTTTGATTTCAGCAGCAGTCCGTGAGCATTTTTATTCTACCCTTCGCGTCGTAAATCGCGTAGCAAATTGTGTAGCTCCACAAAACATCCAGATTATAAATAGGCATGTAGTTCAGAACAGGGAAGAGCGGCTGCGGGGCGGGTGCTCGCCCACACAACGGATGTGCCGCCTACATACCCACTTCTTTGCCGGGGTGGGTAATAAGAAGTTACACAACGCATTTTACCCCTGACGTCGTTCACAGCGAAAAGCCTGTGTGTTTGACTGGAAAAGCGACCACGCGTCGCTGAGCTACTTGGTTACATGGCCTAGTTGATCAGTAACGACCTACAATGCGGGTGGGCTACACTCTGTCATCCATTGTCAAACCCCTGCTCGCTAAAGCAGTTAATTTCGGCTCCATTTAGAGCCCGCCCGTTGTGGCCCATACGAAGCCCAGCCATGCATAGCAGTCCGTGCGTATTAAAATACGTGTCAGCTAGAGTAATTTCCGCGTGGGATACATCCACGTGGATAGGCAGCGGTGGCGTTAAGTACTAGGTTGCTTGTGTGCTTCGCCACTCGCGCACGGGGTACAGGGGGCACATGGGCACGAAGCTGCTCGTAGCCCCTGCCTCCCCTCGTGTATCCGGTTCTTGAAAGCGTGAGAACTGCTTTGCGTATGAATGCACGGCTGATGGCGAACCAAACCGAAGGCTTTTTCAGACGGGCGACCCACGTTTGGTCGTTGTCTGTTCTCTCCAACTGTATGCGTACGTGCAGCTTCTCGAAAGGAGGCAGTTTGTAGGATTGGTGTGAGTCGAACATTCCGAGAGCGACAAACAATTCCTGAACGACCACTGTGTTTACAGCGAAAGTTCTGCACATGACGCACATGCAACGGTGCGTGACAGCGAATTCGAGGAGAGATTACCCAATCCAACGCACACAGCACAAGTGGGCCCGTTTTTATTTTTTGTTTTATGATTTCGTCTCGGAAGTCGATGAACTTCGGTACCGCAGACTTCGGTGGTGTGGTACAATTAAGTCATTCGGTTTCTTGCGGCTGTACATCTGCCCTCTGTGTTCCTTCGTACTAGGTAGTTTTTTCATGGGTCGGCTGAACATATCACCTCTCTTGGTGTGTTCTGAAGCGAGAAAGGCAGCCCGCGGGTAGCGCCCCAAACTTACGTCTGGAGCACTATGTTGCGTGTATGCCCTCGTTACAACATGTGAAGACGTGGTGTTTCTTTCACGGCACGCTGGCACTAACGCTTTATCGTTGGTCAGCAGGTTAGCACGGCCGGTGCTAGAGTTAAAACAGACGCGGGCGAACGCTCCGGGCCTCACTCAACCCTCCCTTTTCTCAAGAAATATGTATCACTCCTGTCGGGTGTACCCCTGGCCTGTTGTTGCGCCACTACTTCGTACTGCGAAGAGCAAGAAGGGTGGATCCAATAGCGTGTGCGTTGTTTCGGCCGATGAAGGGTACATGCATGATTGTAATGGTCTTGATCATGTTTGGACCATAACCAGGCGAAGGATCAGAATCTCGACCCTTGTCCCAAGCTTTTGTGTGTGGCATCTTTGGCCCGGATAGTTCAAGTCAAGTATATGCAGTACTGCCGTAAACGAGGATGCATACGAGGTAGAAAAAATACAAGGCTGATACTGCGGAGCCACCCCAGAACATTCACTTTAGTCCTCCACCTCTGGTAGGGGACCCTACCTTGTGATAGATGGTCTGCCTCCCTCCCCACGGTGATCAAGGGGGCCGAAGAATTTGTCCAGTGCCAAGGTAGTTAACTCACAAGATGGGATGCCTCCTGGGAGGGTCGATGCATACAATGAAAGTTTGTCTTGAAGTGCGTACCTCATGTGTACGGCACATGGGACGTGTTTTGACCAAAAGGTGCGATCGTTCCGAGCCTGCCTTTTTTTTTTTTTCGATTCTGACCTGCACGATTATCTTTGTTTCCCACTCCGCTCCTCTCGTTGCTTCCTGGCATCCGTTGAACCGCCGCTGCTGTGGTGTTTGCAGCAGGCGCAGGGTCCTCCCCTTCCTCCTCGTCTCCGTTGCCATCGTTGTCCAAGCCCTCTCCTATGGAAGAGAGCAGCACAGCAGCACCAGCACCAGCAGGAGGGGACGGGTCCGGAGTAGCCTCGGGGGAAGCAATCGGCGCCAGCAGCAGCAGCACCGCCGCCGCCGTCGCGGCCCCACCCCTCACACCGCCACCGACCGTCGCCGCCGCCGCCGCCGTGGCAGCTGAGACCCCGACCGTGGAGATGACGCCAGTGCCCCCACCGCAACCCCCGTCTTTCTCCACGCCCATGGCGGTCGCGGCGCCTGCGCCGAGCCCCCTGTCGTTCAGCGTGGGCGGGGCCGCGCCAGCTATCGGCGGGGGAGCCGCGGAGGAGGACGCGGCGGGGATGGCGGTGGCGACGGCGGCGGCGATGGAGGCGGCGGCGGAGCCGGCGGCGCGTCCCGTGCAGAAAAACCGGAAACGGTGCTTCACCTGCCACAAGAAGGTGCGTCCTTGTTGTTGCTGTACCCTGTTTTGGCTCCGTGTTCTTTCCTGCACCCTCTTGTACCTTGTTTTGTTTTTCTGCACCCCTGCGCTTGCCCCTCTGCTTGGGTGACTATGGAGCAGCATTGCGGTCTAGGGGAAGAAGTCCGTTGCTCTTGCTCTTTGACGGTAATGTTCGGTGCTTGACAATTCAAATCCCGTATGCATACGTGTGTTGCGTCTTGCGCATGTGTGAGCGGAAGGACTTGGAAGTGTAGTTGTTAACGCGAGAAATCGATACCTTTGACACCCTGTTTTTTGTGTCTTTTCGGAGTGTCGTGTTGAACAAATATACGAGCAACGTTGCACCCGTTGTCGGGGTGTTTTGTTTGGTCCCTCACACGGATCCGCTGTGAAAAGCTGGCTCATAGACGCCATTTTTTTTTTTAATGGTTTTGGGAGTGGTGGCGCGGTGTTTGTTTCATGCACGCATATGCAGACGGACGAGACGGCGAGGGAAGAAAGCAAACGACAAGCGACGGACCGAGTGGCGCGATACATGCAGTTTCCTTTGGCCAATTCCCCCCCCCCCCCCCCCC